CGCTGATTTTTGATATAAAACACAAGAGTAAAACTATCTGATTTCTATTTTAATCATGTCTTGTAATGGACTACAAATAGCATACATCAAAGAAATGGGCGAGATTTATTTTTCTTCATACCCGCGAAAATAGCACTACCCCAAAATTTGGTACTCAGTTGAACAAATATTCTCGATGCTGTCATCTGCCGAAGTTCTCTAAATATATAGACTAATTATAAGTTAAGTCGCGATTCTATCATCTTATATGAAACTTAATGAATGTGTTGGGTCATTTCAGTTTCAATATTAAATCTATGTATTCAACCAATTACCAAATAAAATCTTCAATGATAAGCTGTTTTTAACAGAATAACAAAGGTAACTAATAACAAAGCGTTATGTGTGTCAGTGTGACATTTATACCCACCTTTATCAGATACAAACTATCTCTGGCTAAACCAGTTAACAATTGGTTAATTGTATCACACACGAACTATACAAGGCAGTGACTGTTACTGTGGCTATCTGTTAAAACATCGACGCGAATTTAAGAAATAGCCTAGCATTTAATAAAGTGTCCTTGGTCGAACGTGTTAAAACGACACTAATGACGTATGATTTCATTGTTCTTCGTTAATGAGGTACACCGTCTAGTAATTATTGTGTGTTACGTGAAACGATACGTTTGATTATATTAATCAATGTAAATAGCCGCGTCCACTTAAGGCTAAATGAGACCTTACAGATTATACTTGTGATTTGTGTAAGAGTTATCACCCTTGATACAAATTGTTTCCATTATTTAAAAGGTTAAAAAGTTGTGTGTTACTGAATAATCAAAGGCTTTTTTAAATAGAAACTATTATTCATAAGCATAGGAATACACAATAACTAAGCATATTGTATGCAATCATAGACATTTTACATGCCCTTAAATGCAATTTGATATGACACTGACTTGTCATATATATAACATTCAACTATGTTCTGTAAAGTTCAGTCAAAACATAAACCAAAACACATGATGTAATAGCACCAATGCTTCTTGATGACGTCACACGTTATCTCCTCGGCATCATCTTCTCCGTCACTTGACTTGTATTTTGATGAGGACCTTGAGAATGTTCTGTAAATCAACAACAACAAATTATTAACCTTTTTTCTTTTGGCTTGTACTATATGAGATCAAGGCAAGCCTTTAAAATCGAAAATTCTACAAAAATATATATGTTTCTGGTGATATATTTATATGGCTTTATATAGTGATCACCTACCGTTGAACCCTGTATGCTGGCTGTCGTATCACAGGTGGCGCCAGCGTTTCCTGAACCGGAAGTGACGTTTCTTTCATGTGGTAGATGTTGTAACTGTTCATAAATGGCGAATATTCGTGAAACAATGTTAGTTTACTGGTACACAAAACATTTTCTTTCTTTTCCTGGGGGTAATCTATTACAGGCACTGGGTAAGGGTCCACAATGGACGAGAGTAGCCCCGGCACCATTTCATAACTGGAACGAAGAGACAATCGAGGAGGATAGCGCTTGGCCATGCGTGTAGATACGGCAGATCCTGCATCGGCATTGCTATGTTCATCACACGACTTCATGATTCACTCCGCGAAGTTTAGTTCCTACTACGATTATAGAAACGCCATTCATCCTGTAAATGAAAATGAATCATGTATCTGCTTAGTATTAAATTCCACGATCTAACATGAAGGGTTAGCAACGGTGTCATTGTGCGGAGATCTCACTTCTTATCTAGCCAACATTATCAAGTTTCTCTTGGAAATGTGTAAGGATTTTTTGTTTACCCACAATGGTATAAGTTGATATTATACGAAAAAGTCCTAGAAGTACCAAATACATTTGATGATTCATGATTCTGCAGTCACTGTTTTACAGTTGAATGAGACAAACCTATGGAATATGGGTTTTTTATTTTTAAGAGTCAGTTTAAAACAACGAAAATCAACAGAAATGCAAATGTAACCTTATAACTTTACAGCAATGTGGGAAATCAACGGTTCCCTACATTCCCCACGAACTAATAACGTAAAATGGCAAGTGTGAGTTCCCCACAACGAAGTTTGGGCTAAACTAATCACGTACTCTCCCTGTCTTTTATTGATTTTAATCACTTTCACTGATATATACAAGATTTCATATTAGTATACAGTTAATCTCATATATTGCATTTGCATGGCATTGTCACTATATAGCCTCTTTGGAAGCTGTGTCGTTGATGGGACTTTAATTACCATGCAGCAGGAGATATAATTCTCAGCGTATTAATACAACACTGACCGGAACTACAATATCCAATATAAATTAACATGACGGCTAATGAAATATCGCTAGGCATTGTGAGATTTGACAATGTCATTGTAAATTTATGTGCAAAATAAAAAATAATAAAAAATACTTTTATTACAACAAAAACAAGACCAAGATCAGCAATATCGTACAAAATTCACATCGGTTAAAATCACCAATGCCGGCAATGGTAACATGCTATTTTAACGCTCATGCAATTTATCAAAAATATCGTCTGTTACACTGCACTGAACAACAGGGGTTCGTTACAAATGTCTGAAATACACATATTTTATAGACCTACTGACACATATGTTACAGACCTACTGATATGAGTCACAGCACACATAAACATTTCATACATTTGTAATGACCCCCTGTGCTCCGTCGCAAGATCACTCACTTCAAACGCGTCTAGCAGCCACTGTTTCCTCAGTTTCTGACGACATGTCAAATAACGAGGATGGTATAGAATCTACAGACTGTAGCAAGATTCCCATACAATCAACAAATAAATTCACGTCTGGATTCTTCACATAATGACCAAAGAGAAAAGTTCGAATTAACTTCCAAAAATAACTCCAAAGCGGAGGGCAAGGTCGGATTTACGGTGTTCACTGTATTTATCCATGCGCTAAATTTGTTCCGGAGAAAAATCGAAACAATTTCAAATCTAACTTTCAGCTCAGAGTTCTATTGATAAACTTAAATCACCCTATAAACATATCATACGCAATTGTATTTATACTGAATTGTGGAATAACATTGAAGTGTTATTTAAAATTTCAAAGTACTACTTTGTTTGCCAATCAGCAAGCGACAAACACGCTCTTCAAACTATTGTACGAAATTTTGTGGACTGTCGATAAGGCGGGCATTTTGAATTTAAGATATAATTTATAAGTTAAAAAAGAACATAAGAGGCAGAGAAAACGTAAATATAAGCAATGAACTGTTTTTGTATAGTATTTATGATCTGTTTGAATGACACAGCTTTGCAAGCAAACAAATCATAATGCATACAAAAACAGTTCAATGCTTAAATATACATGAAGCAGCAGCGTTTTAAAGACAGTGAAATACATAATTTTGCGAATGATTCATAAATCCAGTATAATATTGAGTTTCGAAAGAAGCTTTCGTACGTGAAATGAATTTTCTTTTTTTCCAATTTTTGATTCAAATTACTTTTCTATGTCATCGCTATCGTTATTTGAGCTTTGCAGCATAACAAAATATAGGAACTAACAAAACTACGTTGCATAAACGAAGCGTACAAATTAATTAAGTAGCACGTATTAGGTTATTATATAGATATTGAATTGTCTCCGAAAAGGAATTATATTCACAATGCAATTTTTTGTCTGCATGCCACCAAATTGACAATAATTTAAGTTTTGTGATTTTCTTCATTTGAAAACAAAAATGGAAATTACAAAATTATGCGAATTCCTGGTATGCAAATAAGACCACAGATATGAGATTCGGTCTAGACAGTGTAGTGTTGCGTATGTATGTCTTGCTGTTAAAGGACTTTGTACATGTATGTGACCCCGCAACATACTGACACAGGGAAAGATTAAAGAAAAGAAAAATTCGAACCAAAATTATATTATTCAAACAAAAACTTTCTAGCCAAATAATACAAAACAAAAACAAAAAACTCACCAGCATGCCAAATCGCTCTTTCGGTTATTCCAGAAACTGACCCAAACAACGTCAGACCACACTGACCAAAGTTGGACTAGAATTGCTTTTATTATAATAAGGTAATTAATTACCCATCGCCTACACCATTGACAGATGATACATTTTCAATAAAGCGACCCAGGGCAGTACATTATATTTGACAGATTATCAACATTTATGTAATAGGGCAATAACCAAAGGTATATCGGACTGACCTATGTGTACCTGTAGGGGAAACTCGTTGTGTTGAGTGTATGCATGCTACTGGCCCTTGTTGATGTTAAAGTAAAAAGCCTTAAAGAGGCTTTAAGACGAAACGGGTTTTCATAGATTAAATCAATAGTAACAATAATAAAGGTTTATGTGTATAAATAGTCTTTGTCATTTTATAATACGAACCGCTATCTAGATCTGGTAACGTTACCTACGAAAACATATATTCCATTACAATCGGACGGACAGACTGGTGGTATCATTAAAGCGATGAAGTAATGCTTTTTTCTCAACTTTATTATTGTTTTAAAACAAGTTATTTCAACGTGTATTAATCATCTTGTTTTCCCGGATGATATCGCTGTTAATGTATGATGTTATACGGGTAATTAGGCTAGTCAATATTCTGTTTGAATTTCAATCTTTTGATACAACTAGGGTAAGATATTGTCCATTTATGAAGATATCACTGTAGTAGTAAGCATTATGTAGGAGGTTATTATTTACAGGCACAGATTGTGACAACAGGACTCACAAATATCAGTGACCATCATTCCTCCATCTTTTATTACTCTTCCAAAATTTAAAAATTAAATCCGGATATTCCGGATTTATCGGAGTATGGATATGGAAAATGATTTTACTCAATATCCGAAAAATATTAATAAGTGCAATATTACCATTACTATTAATAATAACTCCGCTTTGACTGTTTCACGAGCAGAATATCTGTACCACCTGACCAGTATAATATAATAACCACAGCAACATTAGAGTCGGAAAGAGAACAACATTATCTTTAAATGGGTGTAGATTTAATAACTGAAATGAATACAGGTTGTACAGGTATATGTACACGTATGAACATATAAAACAGGATACACATCAGAATCACAAGTATATAAATCAAACTCTACCTTGACCTCCTCTGGTATACCGGTAGGGGGTGGGGAGGTTTATGTAGGTCAGTCTTGATTTATACCGTTAATATATTGACATACATTAATATACACTCCCTTTCTTTCCTCCTCTCCTTCTTGGCTCCATTTAAAATTATTTTATTATTACCTGGAACTAGACAAAATGTATTGCACATAATTGGAAGCACTGTTTACGGTTAACCTTTTCCGGGTAGACGTCTTTATATAAACGTACTTGGTTGATTAAATTAACTTTCTTTTCAAGTAAATATTATCATAAAAAGAAAACCAATTGTCTTAAAAGATTTAGTAAAATAATAATAAAAGAAAAAGAAAACAAGGATAAAAATACAACATGTAAAATACAGTTTCTCTAATGTAACGGTGAACGAATCAAAGACGTTTCCACTCGTATTCGTCATTATTCGACTTACATCCGGGCTATATGTAACTTAAGAATATACTTCATGTAAGGTAACGCCTTAATTCCAACATCTTGCTATGACTAAGAATAAAAAGTATGATACATGTAATGATAGAATATGAACTGATACATGTCTCCAATATTTTATCAAAAATGTTAAGTATTAACGCTGTTCTATTTGATCTAAGCAGTTAATGTGTAAGTACGTACGCTGTTCTAATTTAGCTAAATCTCTCGCCAACGAAATGGTAGTTTTAGCCCAAACTCTCTATTGTGTACTTCAATCTATCATTACTTCAAACTAGTCAGCTTGTAAGCTTCATACAGTTAAATATTTCCTATTAAGCTAAAAAAGACTACTAAACTAGAAATGTATTTACAAACTGAACAAAATAGATTATATATATACATATATATATAAATATTGATATTATTTGTGTTTCAACAATGCACCTTATGCGATATGCTGTTTCGATTCTCCTATCAGCAGCCAGCAAAGTTCATGTATTTTTCCTCTTATATACATGTACCATCAATCAGAGCAGTTATCACTTAAACCCCATCAAACATTTGAGGGCACAACAGTAAGTCCCCAATAATGCAGGGGGTTTCCACAGTTGTTTACTCCTGCTACATACTGTCGGAAGCAGCAGGTTTATTCTCATTTCAATCCCCAATCTGAAGGGGAGGAACGATAGTCACACGCAAAAGTAACACTAGCTACACTCGTACATGTAACAATAGATAGATTCAAACGGTAAATGTGTCTGGCTAAAATAACCGCCAACATTAGTACTATATCACTTTAGATTTGTTGTATTGAAACAATCCAATTACATAGTAACATTATTTAGCATGTTCTACTTTATTTAATTCAACAACAAAAATATCGTCATTTCGGTCATAAAGAACCAACAAAGCCAAACTATTGGTTGATCATAATTTCTTTTTCAGACAATACGGATCATTTAAGTGAATTCGACTTATCTACTTTCTGTTCCAAATACAATAATATACATATTCGCTAAATGCTGTGTCGAAAGCGCGATGCATTTTAAATTGTATCGGATCTACATAAGTTAATTTGACGCTGACAGTACGTACAGTAAGAATACACTGAACAAATAAAATGTTGATCCTTGGGTAGTTACAACTCCAGCGCCACCTGTTGTCGTTTCAATGACATTCGGCGTTGTTTCCATGACGACGCTTGCCGTTGTGGTTTCCTCCCTTCGATCCAGATATCCAGCATCTCCAACGTGGATTTTCCATATGAGAACGTTAGCTCCACTACTGCCAGTAAAATCCATGGAATTCAAATGAAATTTGTGTAATTTGTTAACAGAAAACCACAGGAAACCCTCAGTGTCAAAGTTAAAAATATCAACGAAGTTCATACATTTGTCGTCAGACATGAAATTTGTTAGAGTTCTCATTTCCACGTCATTGAAATTATCTAACCCCTGTAACGATTGATCATATTCGATGTTCCATCTGTAGATTGCGTTTTCAGCAAGAGACGCGAAGTAGAGGAAGTTTTTCCTGCTATAAGTCATGCCAGCTGTCTGGGACGGTCTATTTCCAACCTTCCGAACGGATCCCGCGAAATCTGACCCTGGGATGGAGGTCACGCTTGTGGGGATCTGATACAACGCGTAACCGGAAACCGGAGCGTAGTATAGATACTGCATGTCATGTGACATTGCGATACCATTGATACCAGCAGCGACCTCAAATATTTCCCCAAAGATGGTGATATTTCCGTTTCCGGGTTCCGGCAACATAGATGGGTGAGAATGAAAATGTGAAACGTTCTGTATACGGTCATATACTACCAACCGGAAGTCAAAAGTATCGGATATGTAGGCAAATCGAGGCTCATTGTCGCTATATTGGATAACGATATCATTTAGGAAATTTGTTTTACGATTCACAACCTCATTTGGGAATTCATGTCGAGTGACCTCCTCCATTGTATTTATATCATACACGACAATTTTAGCAGGACATAGATTTTCTGTTTCAGTACAATCAGTTGACAGAAAGTTGATTCTTCCGGTATCAATTATCCACATCCAGCCCGTGTTCGGATCAATCTCCATACCTTCCACATACTGCAAGGCGTGACAGTTTCCCAGCTCTTGCATGTCCCAGCTAGGAAACGCCTGTAATACCGACGTCCCGTTTTTAACAGCAATCTTATTAAGGGTCGCTGGTACGCCGAGCCGCCATCTTGGAACAGTGACGTAAACATCGTCACCATAGACTTTCATTCCAGAGATAATGTTATTGTTAGGAATGTATTCTTCGCTTTCAATCGCATCTTCACGCGCCGCATCGCTGGACCAATCGTAATCAATTACCGTGAATTTATGTATAATTTGCGGATCATTGCACTCATTTTGACTTAGTGACAATGAATAATGGATATTGGTAACCAAGATAATTACAACGAGGGACACACAACATTTCAGTAGTTCCATCTCGAACGAAATTTAAGAAATAGTTACAAAATGTATTTTACGGATTATTTATATATGGAACAAATAGCAGATATAAACTAAAAATTACCAGATCCGGGTATAAACAAGAACCAAGTCCGGGTATCGGGTAACTGTGAAAACACTCTGTAATAATTGTCATGTTAGATGGAATAGGCACTGATGTAATTATGCAAATATAAATCATGAGGGGAATCTCTTAAACATCCTGATTGCGAGGAGGATAGCCGGTATATCTGAACTATGTTAACAAATATTTGTGCATACGTACATGATAGGTTTAAGGTACAGTGTTAGATATTTACGAGATGTTGATTTGAGTGTCATGGGGTGTATTTGAACCAGGAAGATGTCGTACTCTATTTCTTAACACGTGTCCTTTAACACGTGTACACTGCAAACTGGGCAGAAACATTTACTCAAACCTTTGACGGTAAATTGTTTTGAAGTCTTCAAACACAAGTATATCCGTTCTAAGAAGCCTGTTTCGAAGAACTATGACATCAAATGATGTCTTGATACTTGTATGTCTATCATAGTATCGTTATAAATAAGCATAAACATAACGCAAGAATAATGACCATGCACTTTGTGCAATGTTAACGTTTTTAATAGATGATCCCGTCGTTTGGCAGCTCTGGTTAAACTGTAGGAAAACCTTATACATGTAGTATCAATTCATTGACATGTACCTTCATATCTAACTACTCTCACGGGTACTCTCCCAGCCGGGACATATCATACCTTAAAATGGTAGTTGTTATTCCCTGTTTAACGTTTAGCATTTAGGGTTATCGCAATAACTTGTTAAGCCGATATAAGTATAATGTGGAATACTTTGCTGGGTGCCTTAATTATGTATGGTATTTCAGTGATTTAGCACTCTAAAGTCGGCATCACATCCGCGCTCTCACAAAATTACACTCATGGAGTCAACCTCGCTAGGTATTTATATTCTGACGAAGAGCTAGACAGGTATGTGGGATACATCATCCAACCAAGACCTGAATATAGAGAAAGAGATAACAGCGAATATCATAATAGGGAAAATCGATAGAAATTTCGGTCCCAACGAAACTATACAATGGCACCATGACATTTCAGAGAAGACTTGTTAACTGTGCCCCAGGTCGTGGTTGACCTAGATACTCCTTAAATTGGCGGCAGACATCACGACTTTTGTCATTTGTCGTGCATGAAGCTTTACCCTTCCAGGAAACCAAGTTATGAAAAACGGACAAAATATTATTTAAGTGCAAATGATTCCTTAATTTGACCACAACATCGATGGAACTCCGGCCAAAAAATACCAGAGGAAAAAATAATATGATTTGGCCCTTTAGATGTTATTTCTATTTATAGTATGTTGTTTACTTTTTTCTATTGTCGTGACGAATTCGATCTGAGTACTGATGGCGATAATATTGGCAAATATTGAACTACATTTACGGCAAAACAAATCCTGGTATACAGTAATTCTGATAGGTGTACTGGTAATGAATAATTCCCTCTATTACAATGTTAACATGTGCTAAAAGTCTTGTTCAATACACTACAAACTAGAGAGAGAGAGAGAGAGAGAGAGAGAGAGAGAGAGAGGTTGTGTGTGTTTGTGTGTCACAGCTTGGAGATATTCAATGTGAGATGTCGTGGTAGTGATCTTCTCCGACACAGACGGCACTAGTAACACTGTTCACTATTCATAACACTCTGCATTTCTAATGTATATCACTTCCCGTGCCAATGTTGCCTTCTCCTTTGACATTCCATTCCTTATGGTTTCGTTTCACTAGTGCTGTTTGTTTCGGATGTCTAGATGTAAAAACACGTATTTATCTAATTTACAAGGAGCGTTAATATTATTACTATGTTATACTAATACCTATGTGTTTAAATGCATTCTAAGCCAGCCAATAAAGATAAATAAAAAATCTAATATTTTGATATAGTGTCCCGCAGTTCAATTGTCATCTCGCTTACCACCTCCAACATATTTCATAATCCTTTACAAGATATTTATTATAATGTTTCAGTGTGTCGACCTCAATATTCCGTCAAACTCCTTTATAGATGCCAACATTTAACTTAAACAAATGATGAAAGTGTAACAATATTTTCAAAGTAATTATGAAAGTTAATTTGTAATTATCTCCATTAGATGATCATAACTAGTATATTTTGTCATATTGCCTTTGTTGATTAGTAATAACACTTGAATATTTCGAAATGTCAATATTTGTTTATTTTTCAAATTAACCGGAATGGCGGTGAAAATTGTGTGCGTGTATGATTATTGCGTTCATAAAACAATAAATCTATAGCTGAGTGAGTTTTGGGCTGTAGTACATACCTACTTGACAGTAAAGATTTATTAACGCCCTATCCTGTACACATTTGTGGATACACACATGTATGTGTCACTGTAGGTGTTCTGGGCTACGTGCGCCACACCATCTCGACAGTATTACGTAATACTTTAGCATTTGACTATAATGAGAATATCTGTTTTACAGTCTGGCTATCGTATTTTATTTGCTACATCGGTTAAATTACAAAATGATTGATGATGTGTTTCATCTATTCAAATTTGTTCATGTTCCTGTTTTTCATTTGACGAAAACTCATATAGATTGCATCTGCAACCACGCCTTCTGCTTCAATGAAAACTTTTCAATGTTAATGTGTTTCACTATACACAGGTGTGTGTTGCTCTATTGATATGAAAACCCCCGAATGAAAACTAAGCGAGTAGACTGTAGTTAAATTAAATCTCATTCACGAAATGGTAGGGGACGTCTATTACCTACAAACTCCCAGTACGTAAACCAACCGATTCGTACCAACAATAACAAAATACATGTATTGTTTTTAAAAGAAGAAAGAAAGATTTTTTTACGTCATCGATATACAATCCATCTAGTATATATGCATTTCGTGCTTATCAATTCTGTTTATCATCGTTTTTTCCAACAACATTCTTAATTATAAACGATTTTTTTATTTATTTTTTGTTTTGTTTCGAGTGACCGCTAATATAGTGTTACATGCCAACACACGCACTCCTATTGTTATTAACATCCGGGAGAGTCTTGAAAGAAAACGATATTGATATTTCGTAATTTTGAGTGCTATTTACCAACAAATCCAACCAATGAAACGGTCACAAATATCTTAATAGAAGTAAACATGTCCTTAATAAAAAAAAAAAAAAAGTTCATTAATTGAAGTTCTTTTTCAATCTAATATTTACCCCTTACAGACAATTTTATGGCAAATTTTATATTGAACTTTTGCTCCAGGTGATTGGGATACATACTGCACTCTGGACATTTTCGCGGTGTGAATACGTTAGTGTTTTTCGCGTTGAGAGAATAAGCGCGAAAAATATCCAGATGCGAATGATTATTTATAGATTTTATAGATCAGTTGTGAATACAACGTAAATATTACAAACTGTTGCCAACACTTAAACAACAATTAATCTAAAATGGTCACAACGCGAATATTTCCACACGATTTTATTTTCACTCATGCATTTTATGCATATACACAACAACTTAACGGAAGAATACATAAGTCCTTTCTCTTCCGATTACACCATCAGGAAAAAACATTTTATCAACGTGTCATGCAGTAATGAAGCAAAATCATACTTTTTCCCTCCCTACATCTGTTGAGACAGGAACAAAATCACACTTTTTCCCTTCCTACATCTGTTGAGACAGAAACAAAATCATACTTTTTCCCTTCCTACATCTGTTGAGACAGAAACAAAATCATACTTATTCCCTTCCTACATCTGTTGAGACAGAAACAAAATCATACTTATTCCCTCCCTACATCTGTTGAGACAGAAACAAAATCATACTTATTCCCTCCCTACATCTGTTGAGACAGAAACAAAATCATACTTATTCCCTCACTACATCTGTTGAGACAGAAACAAAATGTGTAACTATGTAGCTAAGCAAACAAGAAATAGGAACCTTCTCCGCATAAAAATGTACAAAATCGGGAGCAAATACTAAAATAATCATCACGACAAGGAGGAGACTTACAAAGCAATGAAAAGACAATATGAACGGAGAAAACATTATATATAATGGAACAAATCAAGAATTTAAGAAAAAAACGACATTTATTAAAAAAAAACTATCACAACAAAAAGAAAGACAAAAGAAATCAAAACTGAATGAAAGACAACATGAACAGGAAAACATCAAATCTAAAGGGAAAGACAAAATGTAGCTTGAACATTAAAACTAAAGGAAAGACAACACTGACTAGGGAAACTTCAAAACTAAAGGAAAGACAACACTGACTAGGGAAACTTCAAAACTAAAGGAAAGACAACCCTGACTAGGGAAACTTCAAAACTAAAGGTAAGAAAACACTGACTAGGGGAAACATCAAAACTAAAGGAAAGATAACACTGACAAGGGGAAACTTCAAAACTAAAGGAAAGACAACACTGACTAGGGAGACATTAATTAAAGGAGAGACGACACGGATTGACGAGAAACTGAGTGAAAGGAAACATGAATTGGGAGACATCATAACTAATTTGAACGGGATGGATAACTACAGGGTTATTTTTTTATCGCATGACATGTGACACTTATGTTGATTACTCTCATTAGATTCGTGGGAAAACGTAAGTCATAAATAATATAGTACACACTTAACATGTCTGTAGTTATAGTAGACACTAGAATCGTAAACAATAGTTACATGTTAGGTATCAGTTAACGCTTATTGATGTCTGACTTGTTAAAGATGCTGTCTAGTTTGCTGTTAACCCTTATTTTACTGTCGGTATCATAGTCCAGTAATACAAACCTGATGTACATACAGGATTCGAAAACAATTACAAAGTACTTATGTGAATTCGTCTCCCTTTTGATGAAGCGGCGGTTGAACGGCACTGACTAATATTATACACAGATATAAGGATACGCAAAAGGGTTTACAGAAACAGTTGTTGGGGGTAATCTGGTTGGAGTATATTTTGGATATGAACACACGTAGATCACTGATGTTTGTTTATTTCAGATTGATGATGCTTACTGTGTATGTGGTGTACAGAGGGAAGATTTAATACATTTTTTTTCTTTCAATGTCCTCTGTATTCAAATATTAGACAGCATATTACCACTATTTATAATCTATTAGGATATTCAAATCTGCACTGTTTATTATATGGTATTAGTAAACGTAATGCATCTGACCAATTAAATAATACTATTCCTATACATGTTGACTTTTATATTAAATCATCAAAACGTTTCGTTACTTACACATGCTAGATAAATTCCAAATTAATATTCGTGTATCATTATTATTATTATTATTCAGGCAAATTTTGTCCTTTAGACAATGAGTATCACTCATGTGCTAGTGTGGGTGTTGGGTGTGCATGTGTGTGAGAGGAAAAACTAACAACATTCTATATATCTAATCATTGTATACAGCTTCCGGAAATAGAAGAAGACTGATATAGGCATCGCCTGTTGTCTGATTCTTTTGTCATCTTCTTTAATATATACAACTTATATGTTTGTATTAAATATGTATTGTCAATAAAATACTTTTGACTTACGAAAAAAAACCCCAAACTTTCACAACTTTAAGGTTGTTATTTATGTGTATGAATTGTAGAGGAATGATGACGTTAAAACCAAGCCTATGCATCGTCTTTAATACTTAAATATTCATCGCACGTAGGCGTCAACTATTTCTACGAATGTTATAGATAAACTTGGTTTTCCCAACATAACTGCGTCAAATCCGATAGAAATGTTTTGTTGCAAATGAACAGTCAAACTTGTTTATCAATGCATTTGAATTACAAAATGTCAAAGCGTGAAAACCGATACACTGTTGTGAGGTGAACATTCAATTTTGTTTATAAACAAATTCGATGTATTCAACATAACTGCGTCGTATCCGTAACAGATAACAAGCACTTACATTGAATGTCATTGATAGACGAAGCTGGAGTGTTGTGAGAATTGTCTAAAGATTAAAGGCAAACAAATAAATTCATGACGGTCATTGTGGCTGAAGGTGCGGTTCACCACCAGCTCCCATTATACATACGCTTTCAGTAAATAGTTTTGTTGTACGTTATGAAGACGTAATAGGGAAAGTATGTCTTTAGCAATATTGCTTAAACGAGTTCGATTTGTTTTTACATTCAGATAAAACAAATATTAAGGTACATGTAAATGTCTGTGTTGAGTCGTTCTTTGTTAAACGTAGAACCATCATAAATGAATAAAATATGAATAATCTGAGTTAAAATTGATACTACAATTTAATCGTGTTGGCAACGATAGGTAATGTTTGTAATGGAGAAGGTGTAACGTGACGGAAAATATATCTTTAGTATATTCATTGTATAATATTATATACATTGTTTACTTTTTGCACAGTCACTCCGGTTTGTAAATATCACCTTTATATATATATATATATAAATATATATATATAGTAACATGACTCAGACAAGACACGTAACATTTACGTATAGATCAAGTACGAAATCATAATACAAATGGTTTTATATTTTATTAATCATTTGTTGACATTCTTGATGATACAAGTGGGATTTCTTGCTGATCATGAACGAACATGTTCAATTGTGTTACAAACGGGGATTCACAAGCAAAGCGACATGAAATACACACATCTATACAAATCAAATACTTCAGAAACAGAAACAAAAATGACGGCATACTTATTCTAGAAAAAATTGAAATTGATCAAAATCTCGGTATAAGGCCATCATGTTAAAAATCGTTTGGTGTTATAAAGAAAGTTGACGATATATTCGGGAGACTGATAAAGTAAAGATTGTTATCTAACAGATAAAAAAAGGGATACATATCAATCAATTCTCGGGATATTTTCTTGTGAAGACATAACGGAGAACGTATTTAAAGAATCGGCTGAGTGCGTCCGGGACAGCATTAACATCAATAGCACTTGGCGGAATGTTTCTTCTTTGATCTAGATAACCGACCTCCCCTACGTAGACCTTCCAGATAAAGATGTTCGGTCCACTATTTCCGGAAAAGTCCATAGAGGTCAGGAGGTACTTATGTAGCTTATTTACAGTAAACCATAGATATCCCTCTGTGTCAAATGTCAAAATGTCGACAAAGTTCATGCATGAATTGCTAGCCAATACTTTGGTAACGGATTTCATAATCACTCTTTGGGTGGACCTGCGTTGAATTCTTCTATCCCGGTCGATGTCCCACCTGTAGATAGAATTCAAACCAAGAGCTGGGAAATATAAATGATTACTTCGGCTGTAAACCATTCCGGCTGCTTGAGAAGGCTTTTCACCAACCTTTCGGACAAACTTCGGAAAGTTCCCACGTGGATTACGCGCGACGCGTGACGGGACCTGATACACACTGTACCCCGATACGGGCCCAAAGTAAATAAACTTCATGTCCGATGACAGCGCTATCCCATTTATACCGGCCGACACGGGTAACGTTTCCCCTAAAATTGTGATGTTTCCGTTGCCTGGTTCGGGTAGCATGGACGGATGAGAAAAGGAATGTGACCTGTTCCGAAACCGGTCGTACACAACCATACGAAAAGCCAGCGCATCGGAAATGAAAGCATATCTTGGACGTGATCCTCTATACATAACGACTATGTCGTTAAGAAATGTTACCTTACGATCGGCTACATGATTGGGAAATTCATGACGAGTAACTTCTTCCATTTTATTGATATCGTATATCACAATTTTAGCCGGACAAAGATTATGTGTGGCTGTTCCGTCAGCGGCGAAGAAGTTGATTCTTCCGGTGTCAATGATCCACATCCAGCCGGTATTTGGGTCTATTTCCATACTTTGAACAAATTGAAGAGCGCGACAGTCTCCGATCTTCTGCATCTCCCAGCTTGGGAACGGTTGTAACACCGATGTCCCGTTCCTAACAACGACTTTGTTGAGTGTTGATGGAACACCACGCCGCCATCTTGGAACAGTGACGTAGACTTTGTTGTTATATGTTTTCATTCCACTTATGATATTGTTATGGGGAATGTAATCTTCGGTTTGAAGAGCAAGCTCTCGTGCTGTGTCGCTCGACCAAATGTAATCTATTACTGTAAATGAATGCATAATTCGTTTGTCGTCACATCTCGGATACGGCGTGTGTCTTGTTAAGACCGATGTCCCCGTCGATACCACGAGGAATACTGACAACCAAAGACGTATGCAGCTTTCCATTTTGGGGTCCGTTGTTTGTAGAAATGTGTGAAGAGATTTATAACATTTGACCTTATATAATGTTCCCCATCCCAATCACACCTATTGAACAGGGAGAAGCGTGTGCCCTAAAGCATTGCCTGTGGTCACATCCGTACATAATTAAAAACATAAATGTTAACAAGTATTTGGAAATTTTCGTTTTATACGATGGCCGACAAGAGCCTGACAAAAAGATATGAATTTTCATATCTTTTTGTACCACGGTACACTTTGATATGGTACACAAAGATATGAAAATTCAAATCTTTGTGTACCATGTAAAAGTGTACCATGGTACACAAAGATATGAAAATTCAAATATTTGTGTTCCATGTAAAAGTGTAACATGGAACATAAAGATTATAAACAACTTTACAAAAACACTCTTTACTTTCACATGTATATCTACCAACAGCCGATATCAGCCGGCAAAAAGATATGAAAGCTTCTCTCCTTTTAGTACCGCGTTACACTTTTTTCATTTCTTTTTGTACCACCTACGATACAAATAGATATGAAAAAGGTGTACCACCAGAGCATCGGAATGTTGTTATCGGACACTATGACCAGAGCTGACCCCGAATAGTGAAGCCCTAATTACAACGTCGAAACAAGTCGTGAAGTTCATTAATCACTGCTGATGAAAAACAATTGTGTAAGTATTGGGGCCTTGACACGGTCTCCAAAAGGGAAAAAGAACATCTGTATATTTTTGTCATTTCCGTTGTTTTGATAGAAATCCAGATTATAAAAGAATCGTACAACTAGCTCATCGTATTTCCCCCATAAAAATATAAAAGATTAAATTGATTGTCCCCTTTTGTTCCATTGTCCCATACGGACTCCGTCGGCGTTTTCAACTGATTTGGAGTTTCTTTCATTTGAGAAGTTGAAGCGCATAGAATACATGCGAAATGTAAGTATTAGAAAAACAATCCATAATGACTTCCTTTTTAACGTAAAACTTTTTATAAAATTCGGTAAAGGATATTGAACAGTTGATTTCAATTTAAATGAGTATGTAATAGTTTGGTTGCTCATTTGGTGTAATCAAAATAACAGACATTCCGTTCGATAACATTTCATTGTAAGTGATGACAGCTTTATCGGGGTGTAATTTGTCATACTTGGTAACCTTTACGTCTGATGGTTTCACATGTTTCTGTACCATGGCTGTTTTCGGCCGTTATTTTGGTACAGAAAGATACAAAAGCAACGGGTTGATCTTATTTCTGCTTTCATATCTTTGTGTACCATGGTACACTTTTACATGGTACACAAAGATTTGAATTTTAATATCTTTGTGTACCATGTAAAAGTGTACCATGGAACAAAAAGATATGAAAATTCATATCTTTTTGTCAGGCTCTTGTCGGCCATCGTAGTTTTACGTTTGGTATTCCAAAGGAATACTTTGTCATGTACCTTTGCCGGGCCTTGATATTTGAAGGTGTGACGTTATTTACGTCATGACAACAGACATCCCTCCATCCTATTTGTGCTTCATACAGTCATACTAAACTTATTAAGCATCATTTATAAAACGTGTTTTTGAATTGTCAGTACAGGTTTGATATCATTGGTGATTCTGTGGTAATATAATAGGTAATCTTGCTGGACATGGAGGGGTGGGGAGGGGGAGGGGGGAGAAGTTATTACAACAGGTTTTATCTCCATTTCTTGAGATGAGATTTCAAAAAAGGAAAGGTTTAAAGGCATTGAGAAGGTTGTAATTTTAAAATAGGAGCTTATGTTGAAATAAGTTTAATAGAGAAACGAAGGAGGTATGTAAGACACACACGCATGCAAATACATATATTTAATTTAAACATGTATATTTATGGTGATTGATAATGATGACGATATTTTCTGTTCTCTTGCGTCATCGTGACATGTGTATACCGTTTGTTTGTCGATCCACACCAAGTAATACTGAAATATACATCCTTGCGTATTAGGGAGACATAAGAAGATGGTAGTGCATTTATATCACACTACATTTGAAGTGGCTTATCTGGACCCCGCCTTTTTATGGATGCAAAATATCGGGATATTGTTGGAATCAGATGACATTTTACATAATAATTAGTTAGCTGTATAAGTAAAGGAAATGAATCTGGAATAACCTTCAGTTTCAACATTTAGGTCCTTTCTGTGCATTCTGTGAAGTTTGTGTAATTGTCCCTGCTTTCTAAATGTATTTATCCCTACTAATACTGAAATTTGCTATCCAAAATGAAAGGCTAAAGAGAGGTAACTCGTACACAGATTTGTTGTTACTGCTTGTTTGTGACATCTAGAAACTACAATACAGATGTATTTTCATAATACGTAGAAATGGAAGACCCCCACACTTGTTCCCCGATTAATACGATCTTTAGAATGACGATGGTTATCTATGGTTGTTCACTGACACTGTTTTTAAACACTGGACATGTTTGATAACTTTGCAAACATATTGAAGTGAGATATTGATCACTGAGAGGATATCCTCATACATGTATGCTGACGTGTTTTAGAATTTCTGTGAACAATTTCAATATTCATCATTGAGTCGAATTGTTATTACGTCAACCAAATCTTACTCATAACTAACGCTTTCGAAAAAGTGTTCTGTACGAATTAATGGTCAACGAAGTAATTACAAGTTTAACATAGAGCAATTGGAACTCGTTATCCATGAATTCATGTTCCCACGAAATGGTGTTTTGTCAAGAAACCACGAAATATGGGCCCCGCAAAATAATTCAATATCAAGGCACATGCATTTAAAGTAAAATTACTGTGACCTCGTGTTTCTGTGTGCAGATGTATAGAATTGAAAGGAATAAATGGTCATAGGAAGGGTCCTTGTGCTTTTTTTTAAAACGATAACATCATGACGTCCCAGTTACAGTTGTAATTTTCTTTGTCATATTGTGTATGGCCTTTTCATCAGTTTATACTTACTACGATTTTCTCCCCACCTGTTTGCTCAATAAATCAATAAATCAATAAATAGCATATACATTATATAGCATGATGACCTATTAAATCATCCGTGTATATACATCTATTAATGTATTGGTGGTTTAAAGTTTATAATACTTTGCCTCAAAGGCATACTCACCATTATTCAGTTTATTTATAGTAATAACAGAGTAAAGTCTACGTAAAACATATCGTTATATTAATTAGTAGATGAAAATGGATCATAAAACTTTTTCTGAAAATTAATTTTGAAAAAAATGGAAAGCTCACGTATAGGTATAACTAAATGTATTGTGAATAAGAAAAACATACTCTGTATATATGTATACTTTGTCTCATTCATGATGGGTAACAATGTGCTGTAGGTACAGGAATGCAGGTTTAATTCCAACAAAGCAAAAATTTAGAATCAAATAAATATGTAGGTATCCAAATTGACTTTTCACATGTAAACTTAACCTATCTGAACCCTAAAGCTAGCACAGGAGAAACTGGGGTTGAAAAGCCGTGAGGGTGTGTATTACACAAGGTATAGGGTCTGATGTCAATGACATTACCTTTACCTCCTGACCAGAACCAGCGGGGGTGGGGGTGGGGTGGGTTTGGGGGAAATAACTGTATACGCCCCAACTGTAGAAATTATGCTTCTCTATCTCTATACGGAGGGTTGACGGGTCCTGACCCTAAAGACATCCTTAGATTCATGCACCAATGATATGTATTTTTAGGGGGACCTCATATTTTTTTCAAAAACAAATTTAAAGATTTTCAAATGTTGTCTCAGTTTACTTATTTGACTTTTCTTAAAAAAAAGACAAATTATATTTATTCTAGCACGGACTGAGATAACAATCTAATTCCGTGTTTCTTGTAAGTGAATGGTTTTTTAGTACGGAATTAGATGCTATCGTTTAAAGGCCGTGTTTCTAGTAAGAAAATATATTTAACTACATGTCTACTATGAAAATAAAATATCAAAATAAACTTTGAAAACGTCTAAAAAATATAAATGTTTATTATCCAATCAGAATATTAATCCAAAGAACAGTCGATCTGTGCATAAAGAATACCATAATTGTATATACTGTATATAAATATATAATTCTGTTTTAAAACATGATAAATAATCTATATATGGTAACTGCTCCGCATCCTTGTTTTTTTTCGATAACAAATTTGAGTGCGTTTTCAAAGTGCTAACATTGTTTTATCGATTTAACATCCGCTAAACCTTCCCGATTTATTTTGAAATTTTCACAATTTAATTTCCATGTTCCAAATAACCTTCTAGTTTTTTCATTGGAACACCTGTGCCCTGTGGTTATTATGGACCATTGACTGTACAGTTACAAAAGACTCACGGTTCAAAGAGTCAAAGTCACTGTTTTGAAATAGATTTGTGCCTGGGACTGTCATTTTCTGACAAAGGGGCAGACCCAGTATCCTACCTGTAACCATGTACTGATTTACCTGTGTATCTTATATCTAATGCTAATACGCGATAGTATTTATAACTTTGTTTCTGTTGGAAATTCTCTTTTTGATACCATAATACCCGTGACTATTGATAAATGTCTACTTGACCAGAATAAAGACATTACTGTTATCTTTACATATGTTCCTCCGAGCTCCTCGCAATACTATATACATTACAACTGTGACATTTTTCATGAGTTAGAGACAATCTTGTTAGAATACTCTGAATCTAAGAGTGTGATGATTATAGGTGATTTTAATGCTCGAACACGCACAACTGATGATGATTTTATAACTTACGATACCATTCATGAGAGTGTCAGAAACCGCATTGAATCTATTTTCAACTACTTAGTTGATGATGCTGATGACAATTTACCTAATAGGGTAAACCCAGATCCTGGTACGAATGACTATGGTGCTAGATTAATTTAGCTATGTAAATCTTCTGGTCTGCGAATCAGAAATGGTAGAGATATAGATGGATCATCAAATGATTTTACTTTCTGTGGATCAAATGGGATGAGTGTGATATACTATATGTTAATGCCTT